AAAAGGGAAACAAACGGCCTGAGGTGGTTTTTTTAAGTCTTGTTGATAGGTAGCTCAAAAGCATTATCACACGGTTGTGATGGTATGTACTTTGGGATTATGTAGGATAAGTGGAAAACATTAGTGCACACGGCAAGAATATCCCCACAGCAAAGGCGGGGAGAGCCGGTGCCCCAGGAGCTCTTGGACAGGGTCCTAACCGCGCATGCTTACTGGTCGCAGCAGCAAGCGAAGCAGCAACTAAAGCCGCAGCAGCCGGAGACCTGCCTTCTCCTTTATAACTCTACCATGAGAGGTAGTAGCACATGTGATGTTGTCGAAAAGACCTTAGGTTGAATGATGGGTTTAGGGAAGGATTGTCTAATTAATTTTTTTTCCTCATTTCTGTAATTGTTATTGTGATTATGTAAAAAGGTATGACAAGGAAGAAATAGAAGTACCCGAGAAATCTATGTAATATTTTATCCTGCTCTTTGCCTGGATTCTTCTCCTGCAATGGAGAGGTTTGGCCCCTTCTGTAAATGGTTGTTGTTGGAATAAGAGCTTGCTAACTGAATTCAATTCACATAAAATTTCTTTTTTCGATCTATTACTTATGAAGATTAATTAAATTGGGTTTAGCCAAATCACATGGCGTTAATTTCTGAAATATGTAGTAATGTTGCCTAACTGCTTTAATAAGACTTTCCCCTTTTAGCCCAATTTTGGAATCTGGATTCCTATCACATCAATGGTTTTTACATATTTATATATAAAGAAGGAATCATTTTTATATTTTTAAAATCATCTTAAAGCATGGGTACTTCTCTGATCAGGTAAAGGAAAAAAAAATACAAGAATTATTGATTCCTTGGCATCTAAGGAGATATACTATTTGTTAGGCATAGGTCATTAATGTTCCTTTCTGGCAATTCTCATGCATTTCTTTCCTTTGGGTGGCTTATACTAACGCTTACCATGTCGCTCTCAAGTCTCTTTCACAAAAAGTTGTCTATGCATTATTTAAGTATAAAAAAGAAGGAAAAAAAAATAAGAATTTTTGTGCAGCAGATAAATAAATAATGAGGATTCCTAGTCTTATGGCTGAAATAAAATGGGTTGTGTTTCTTTTCTTGACATTTTGTTTCTGATCATGAAAAAGAGAGGAATGTAAACCTAGAAAATATGTAAGGATTTGTTTTGGGCAACAAAATTTGTGGACTAGATGGATGGAAATAAGGACTAGTTCTCACTTCACTTCTGCTTTATAAAGAAAGAAAGAAAGAGAGGTGAGTTCTTAAATGGAAATTGCTTTTTATTGAATATATATGTGGTCTTGTTTAGAATTTTAACACTTTTAAATAATCATATTGTGTTCATATTTATCTATATAATTTATTTTTATATACTTATATAATATTATTTAAGACACGTAAATACGAAAAGTTAGATCTAATCTAGACTCTCTTGTAGGACAATGGAGGATCTCTCAACAGCCCGAGCCTAATCTTCCAGGTTGCCGAAGGGCTGGCTAGATGTTAGTCCAGTTACTTAAAGCCCATTATCATTATAAAAATGCCCCGTATTACAACCTTAGTGAAGCCCAAAATGGGTAAAACTCAAACAAAACTCTCATGGACATATGGGCCAATAAACCCATTCAACATGGTTTTCCAAAGCCCAAGAATCGACACTTCAGGCCCAAAACATTTCAGGACAGCGAGTGAATGAAGGTGCTTAACTGCAGTAGAACAGTACTACATATGGTTCTTCACTTCCTTTTATTCAATAAATAGAAAAATGTGAACAAGTGCTCTAACCCTTGACGCCTTGAAGAGCACTTGCTACATGGTTACATGCAGAAGCTTTTTTATATTTTTACTTTTAAAAGTTAGTGATTGTTTGTTAACATAATAAAATTTCTTATATTTTAATGCAATAATCATAAACAAATGCTCTTAATACCTTTATAAACAAAATCATATATAAAATATCTCACAAATAGATTGAATTTTAGAACAATTTATTGTAATTAAAATTTAGAATTATAATTTGAATCAAAACTAATTTTAATTACAATGTCAAATGAACTTTAAATGGCATATCTATGGATGGTAATGGGTGTTTAATTTTTGAGTACTTGAACCTAAATCATGGATTACCATATGTTCGAGTTTTGGACAGGTTCAAATAGAAAGTTTGCTAATCGTATCAGATTTAGGTAGAGTATAAGTGTCATTTTAAACACTCAATACTCGATTTATTAGTGAACTTGAATTATAATTTTAATATTTATTTGATTTTATATCTTTAATTATTAGTAAATTGCATTTATTAGATGTGAGATTTTTTTTTGTTTGGATTTGGTTTAGGATAAATTCATTGAATATTCATAAATTGAAGAGATTCGAAAAACCGGAGTTTAGATATTTAGCAAGTAATATTTATCTAATTCGATTAAAACACAGAATATTAATAAAATATTTATGGAATTTGAATATTTTAACAAATAATAATATAAAATCAAACAAATATTAAAATTGAAATTCAAGTTCACTTAAAATGGAATTCAGATATTCTGAATATAAAATATCCAAGTGTATGTATTCGGGTTGAATACGCTAGGGTTTTACCAACCATTGCCATTTCTAGACATAAATTCTGTGTGTGTTGTTGGCGCATGTTTGGCTTTGACAGCGTGTGTTCAGGAGGGGACTGGGGGCGGGTGTCGAAGGGTCTGCTCTGCTGTGTCTTTTTGTGTGGGAGAGAGAGAGCACCACACGTGTTCTGAAAATCAGGGCCGCGGTCCAAAAGAGAGAAATTGTCAAAAAGAGCAACCACCTCTTGTCTGTCAGCACCCTAAATTCTCTTGTTTGAAACGACTTGCCCCAGGAGAATACCTTCTTCAACTAATTTGAACATCAAAACTTCCTATGGTTTCATGCGTGCGGCAAAGAAACATAAATGATTGGAGAAAAGACATTAGAGAAATATATTAATATGCACAGAAATGTCAAATGGTTGCTGGTTTAGCTTCATTTTTCCAATGTCTTCAGCTTCAAAGCATTGAAACAAACATAAAACGCCTTTAATATTGCCATTGAGCAAAAGAGTCGAACTCTCTTCATTAAAAATAGTCAGCTTCTACCTGTAAATGTGAACACAAAGTGGATACCAGAAGAATTCAATTCAAACCAGCAGATTTGAAAGGAAGAAAAAGGGGCTGGCAATTTAATTTGGTGAGATACAGTTCCGAGGAATTAAGCAGACTGACTGTGACACCCCTTTACAAAGAAATGTGTGGTACTTTCATTGTATGTATATGTAAGAACCAGGGGAAATTGTTTTTTTCTTTTGTTTCTACCATCTTTCAACGGCTTGCAAGCTCTACTTGCAGAAAAATCAATGGTGAAGCAAAGAAAACAAAAGGGAAAGGTTTGACATGAGGGACTACCTTTTGAAGAGAGCGTGTGGAACAGAGAAGGGTCTAAGTTTCTCCTGGGTTCAATGAAGGCAGGTTTCAGTCTCAGTCAAGCACAAAAACAAAATAAAAAGGATGAATAGTTTGGAGTTGGAGGTTGAACCATGACCCAAACCAAGACATTGTAAGTTCCTGGAATATGTCAATACATCTCAATGTATCTGTATTTTGAAAACTCCATCTTTTGTGCTTGAATTCCCCTAATCTTTCTCTGACAAAGCATGTCTGGCCAACATATTAAACTGTCAGCTGATACAAATTTCTTGGTTTTATCATATAACTACATGCATGTATGAACTCTGGTCAATGAACAATTTTTTCTTCTGCTGGTGCTATCAAAACTGTGTTTTCCTTGGTCATTTTTTGTTTGTTTTTTTGTTTAAGAATGCTCTTGTTTCCTGTTCTGATAAGGCAAGAAAAGACCAACTCAATATTCAAATATGTCTGTTTTCAGGAGAGGCCTAAGAAAGGTAATAATTAAACACAAATTGATGGTTATGTTAATGCATATATATATATATATATATATATTACAATATTGGGTCAAAAGCAAAGCATGCCAAGGGAAAACTGGGTGTGCTTACATAGAGTAATGAGCTCACCAACATCAATCAAATTGGTCTATTGGATTTGTTTATCTGTTTATTTTATTCTTTTTTTCAAGTGATCATTTTCAGTTTGCAAGTTGGTCATGGATTATATTTATTAACTAATTTTCACCTGTTGACTTCTTGAGAAATGCTATGTATTTTAGATCTAAAAAGAGTTGGAAATTAAAAAGCAGTGAAAAGGAGCCCTGCTAGCTACCCCTACTATTTTCAAGGTACAAAGAAAGAAGCAACCCAAATCATGTGGACAATTACCTAAAGTCAAATAAACAAATGAAAAAAAAACAAAGAATTCTTTTTGGATAATTAATATAAAAAAGAATTGCATTTAGACTAAGATTATGATTATGATAATATGCTACAACATCACTACTTGCTCCCCAAGACAAAGAATTAGATTAAAGGGTTAATTATATCTCCTAATTACCATTTGCACACTTCTACCTCGTCAAAAACTTAAAAAGACTGAAAATTAAGAGAACTGTAATTGGCTTTCCTCTATATGAGATAATCCATACTTTGAAGGCAAACCAAGATAACTAAATTAAAAGTTTGATTTTTTGATAAAAATTTTGGTTGAAAGAAATTGTTTTTATATAATGAAACCCCTTATAATTATATAATCTTCAGTATTAATATGTTAGATGTGACAAAATACACTATGTATATAATTCTAGTTGCTATGCTTGCAAACATAATAAGTTGCTGCTTGCTGCCTCCAACCTCAAACATATTGACCAATGGATTTTATTATTGAATAAAATAGTGAATAGAGACCAGACTTTATTATCGAGTTGGATTAGGACATTTAAATCTTGAACTCGAGTGAAAACAATAGTTGAGGCTTATTAGTTAAGACATAACTCGAGACCGGATGGATGGAGTTGTGAGTGTTCTCCACGTCGAGTAACTTTAAGATTGGGTTAACTTTGTTTAACTCCACCTGCATGGAAGACTTTGACCCAGATCATCAGGTTCAGCCGTGTAAAACTATGTCCCACGATGTTGACTTTGGCGGAGAAGGAAACAGTGCTGATTGGTGGGTATGACATTCACGACACCCCTCCATCGGATAACACGAAATTACGGACAGACCAATCACAATCAGGGAAAGAGAAGGGCACCCAACGCCAAGGTTGTGGCCGGTGCGGTGACATTTCCACTTGCAGCCTTAGATTTGCGGACACACATAACTGATTTATTTAATATACAGGGAAAAAAAAAGCTTTGGTTTTTTATGCTGGGGAACTTTCAAGATGCTATGACCTGTACTGATAAAGACCCTTTCTTCACTTCATTACTTCTTTAAAGTTAAAAAAACGCGTTCGTTTTCTTCTTCTGCTTTATTCCACCGGCTCTAGATCCTAGGTTCTTCTTCTGTGTTGTCTCAGGTATGAATTAACTTGGTTTTCTGTTAGAATTTTAGCTGGTTTTTTTTTTTTGTTTTTTCTCTCTAATGGGTTCTTGCTATTAAGTTTCTTTGTATGGTTTTAGTTATGTTGGTTTGGGAAAAGTTTGATTCTTGACTGTCAGCCTCCAAATTTGACAGCTTTTCCTGTATGTGTTTTTCCATGTTAGTCAATTCTTTGAAGGGATTAGAGGAAAAACTGGTTTTTTTCTGTTGAATTATGGTCTGCAATTAGGTTGTAAGTTTATCCTGTAAAATAATTAAGTTAATTATGGGTTCACAGTTCAATGGATTCCCTAATTCAGTTAATGGTTCCAACTTTGATAATGGCTTTATTTTGCCTAATTCAAATGGATACCCAAAATTTGAAATTTCTAATGGGGTTAAACCAATTGACGTAGATTTCAGCTCTTTAGGTGCACCGTTTTTACCTTCTCTAGGATTGGGTAATTCTAGCGCTTCTACTTCATTGTTGACCATGGAGAAAGAGGGAGATTCTTCTTCTCCTTCTGATGACAGTGATTTCTCCGACACTGTTCTCAAGTACATAAGCCAGGTGCTTTTGGAAGAGGACATGGACGAGAAGCCCTGTATGTTTCATGATTCATTGGCTCTTCAAGCTGCGGAGAAATCTCTTTATGAAGTTCTTGGTGAGAGCTATCCTCGTTCCAATCAGGCCCCTCTTTGTAGTGACCTTAGTGTTGAGAGCCCAGATGACTGTTCTTTTGGTACTTACAGCGATCATAGCACTTTTAGTGGTTCTAGTTACTGTACTAGCAATTCCATTGATTCTCGGTGGAGTGGTGATTTTTGGGAAAAGAACAACAAACCATCTTTTTTACAAATAAGTATTCCTGAAAACTTTGTTTTTCAGTCTACTGTGAATTCTGGTTCACAGCCTTCAGGTCGATTGCAAAATGATAATGTTAAAAATGGGAATGCATTGGTGGGTTCTTCTGTGAGTGAGCTTGCAATTCCAAATTGTTTTGGTGAAAGTGAATTGGCATTGCACTTCAAGAGAGGGGTAGAGGAAGCTAGTAAGTTCCTACCCAAAGGTAATCAGCTGACTATTGATTTTGATAGCAATGCATGGACTTCAGAGTTGAAGCAGAAGGCTCCAAGGACAGTAGTCAAAGCGGAGAGGGATGAGGAGTACTCACCACCTAGGTTGACAGGAAAGAAGAATCATGAACGAGAAGATGAAGATTTAGAAGAGGGCAGGAATAACAAACAGTCGGCAGTTTTTGGTGATGAGAGTGAGCTATCGGACATGTTTGATAAGGTGTTGATTTGTGCTGGGAGAAGAGGGCAGTCTTCCACTTGCGATGCTGATAAGATTTTGCAGAATGCACCTCGCAAGATGTTGCAGCAGAATGATCAAACAAATGGATCTGGTAGTGGGAAGGCTCGCAGCAAGAAACAGGGTAAGAAGAAAGAAGTAGTGGATTTGAGGACTCTCTTGATTTTATGTGCACAAGCTATCTCGTCTGATGACAGTGGGACTGCTAAGGAACTGCTGAAGCAAATTAGGCAGCATGCTTCACCCTTTGGTGATGGATCTCAGAGATTAGCCCACTGCTTCGCTGATGCCCTTGATGCACGCTTGGCTGGCACTGGAACTCAGATTTATACCTCTCTGGCTGCTAATAGAATATCAGCTGCTGAAATGTTGAAAGCTTACCAAGTTTATATTTCAGCCTGTCCATTCATGAAGATGGCTATTATCTTTGCAAACATCAATATTTTGAAGGTAGCAGAGAAAGCAACAACTCTCCATATTATAGACTTTGGTATCTTTTATGGTTTTCAGTGGCCTGCTTTAATTCATCACCTTGCAAACAGACCTGGTGGTCCTCCAAAATTACGCATTACAGGAATAGAATTTCCTCGACGTGGCTTCCGGCCTGCTGAAGGAGTTCAGGAGACTGGGCATCGCTTGGCAAGGTATTGTGAGCGTTACCATGTTCCATTTGAGTACAATGCTATTGCACAGAAATGGGAGACTATCCGAACTGAGGACCTCAAGATTGATTCCAATGAAGTTATTGCTGTGAATTGTCTGATTCGGTTTAGGAACCTACTTGATGAGACAGTAGCGCTGAACAGTCCAAGGGATACTGTTCTAAACCTCATTCGGAAGATAAATCCAGATATTTTTGTTCATAGCATTGTTAATGGGTCCTACAATGCCCCCTTTTTTGTCACACGGTTCCGGGAGGCACTCTTCCATTTCTCTGCACTGTTTGACATGTGTGAGACGAATGTTCCTCGTGACAACCCTATGAGGTTGATGCTTGAGCAAAAGTTTTATGGGCGGGAAATTATGAATATTGTAGCATGCGAAGGCACAGAAAGAGTAGAGAGACCTGAGTCATACAAGCAGTGGCAGGTTCGTAACATGAGGGCTGGGTTTAGGCAGCTTCCTTTAGACCCTGAAATCATGAAGAAAGTGAGAGAGAAGCTGAAGGCGTGCTACCACAGTGATTTCATGGTGGATGTTGATGGCCGGTGGATGTTGCAGGGATGGAAGGGTCGAATCATCTATGCATCTTCTGCATGGATTTCTGCGTAGGACTCGGAACTGCTAGAAGAGGACAACTAATGGAAGTCTCTTAAGTTTAAGGCAAGCTTAGTGAGATCATTCTTCCAGGAATTGACATCAATCTTCTTGGATGGGTGTTCTGCAAAAGCCTGGCAGAATTTACTTCAATGAATGAAGGTTAAGGAGATGTGGTTGCATTGGTTACCACTTGTGACATGGATTAATTCATGACCTCAATTAGCTGGAGTTTCACGATGACCTGGTAGTGGCTTAAATTTGTTGCGTCTTTTTCGGTAGTCTTCTACGAACTGAGTTGAAGTAATACTGTGCACAATGATAATTCCTTCAATCACACCTTATGTAAGCGTAGATTTATGGAGTCATATGCCACATAGCTCGCAACATGGGCCTTTGGCATCTTTGACCTGCTCTTGTACCCTAATTTAGTTAGTGTGACTTCATAGATGATGTAGTCTCATTTATCCACAATCCATGGTTTTGGTTCTTACAACATAGAATCAGTGGCTGTGTCTGCTCTTGCTATCTTTTTTCTTTCTGTGCTGCCCATATTTTATACACTTTGCATTTCCGTATGTTGGAGACTTTATTTGTAGAACAGAGATAAAAGCCAGTTGGGGCCTTAATCTTAGTGACAAAAGTTTAAGGTTAAGATGTTTTGATGTCTCAAAATCAAATCTCCACACATTCATGATAATCCAAAATAAGAAAACCAAGGACCAATACAGCTTTGACAAACTGCATAGCTGGTGTTATCTTCTCAATCTATTTTCTGACAAAGGCCAATTTAAGTTATGGTTTAGCTGATGTTTTCCTCAAACAAAAGGCTTTCTGCCTAGCACTACCGTCCAAACTTTTCACTGCTGTGCAACCACCAGTCCCCCATAATGGAAAATCAGGTCACAGTTTCTGCTGGAGTCAGCTGTAACCAAAGAGATGGAGCTGACACTGAAACATTTACTTTCCTAGTGAGAGCACAAGTCAAGGCAATAAATGATGGATAACGTTCAATGTATCAGCGGAAATGTGGGGTAAATGGCACATATTTCAGTGCAATATTTTATTAACTAATCAATCAGAGCATCTTTTGAAACTTATTAGAAGCTAAAGGGAAACAGTTGAATATAAAATAATGTACATTGTTACTTGAGGAATCAGGATCTTGTGGTGGGCGGAGTTATCTAGAAGGACATGTATATTATATACTTGTTATTTTCTTTTTTGTTTTAAAGCTTGGCTGCTTTTTGTCTCTGTCATAGAATTATAAACGAGATGGAATATTAGACTTGGAAAAGGAGGTCGAATCAGGACCGAGCAAATTGGTTTTTCTTTTGTTCTTCAAACCCATTAAGCAGGATATTCCTCCATTGATTTAAATATTATTACAAAATAATATTTAGATTGGGAGATTGACCACACAAATTATTCCATGCCCAATAAGGACCAACCATATTCTCCAATGTCAATTGCCATAACTACTTTTTTGTTTTTGAAAATAATTGCCATGACTGCTCATGAGCCTTTAAACACACACACATAAAAAAAAGTCTGGACTTTAATTCAAGCAATATTTATGTCCTAGCTACAAAAAAAAAAAGTCTGAAAATCATGGAAACATGATCATGTGCTTTAAATGGGTTTAAACCATTATGGCATTAAGTTGATGACAAAAGGTGGACAGTATCAGATTCCATTTGTTGATGCATCAACAAGAAAGCTTTTAGGTTTAATTAATATTCCTGCATACTATATAGGATAATAATAGGCATTGATGCAGCCCCTCCAACTCTCCTAGTTTCAATGGGATTTTCCATTTTTATTCAGTCTTGTTTCTTAATTTATGACAACCCTTCTTTTAGCTTTTTGTTCACATATTTTTCTCATAAAAAGAAATTCATAACCTTTTATATAGCTTAATTGGTCACTTGTTACTTGCAAAGTATTCCTACTAACTATTTTATTTTGCCTTTGGGTACAAATATACTATTGGCATCGGAGCATAAGCATTGGGAATGATTAGATCTATTTATAGACATGCAAGCACGTGTAAATGATTAGATTTGTACAGTGGAAATCTTTCTTCAGATTTTATGGTCCCCTGTTGCACTTTTTTCATTATTAAAACTGCAAAATCAGGCACAAAGATAATACAAAACAAGGGAATAATGATAAAGTACAAGTAATATATTTGGTGCTTAGTCTAATTTATTTATTAAGAAGATGATAATATTTGATTCAGAATAATGTACATGGTACTACGTATATAAAGGTTTTAGCTTATACATGGCTGGCAATAGCTAGACAAAAAGCAATAATTTTATGATAAAAGGTAGAATATTTGTTTTGCTTCAGTCAATCTGGGTTTGGTAGATTTGTGACTTCCCAGAGGTTAAATACTTGGGAAAGTACTGTAATAGTACAACAAAAACTTTCGAGACCAATCCACAGGATTCACATGAAACCGCAGCAGCGTTCACACTTGAAAACACAATCTCTAACATTAATTATTTTGTCTTGTCCCTCCTCCAAGTTGGAGATTCTTGTTTCCCAAGTTTTACCAAGGCTTTGACTTCTGAAACAGAAGGAGAAAAACGAAAGAAAGCCTTGATCTCCAAGCTACCCATTGTGAAAACCAGTGGGCTTTCTGCTGTTAGACTATTCTGACTTGAGTTCTCTTTATTATAATTAAAACCTCACTTACTTCTCTAATATAATAAATCTCTTTCTAAGTTGAATGACTATTTTTCATTAATGTGATGGAATATGATAAAAATATTTTTGAACAAGCTTCAAGTCAACACGATTGACTTTCATGTAATTGCTTAAAGTATGAGTAGTTTGTTTACTACAAGCTAAAAAATAAGAGCATATTTGAGAGGAAAATCGCTGGTCATTTCATGTGTACAATGAACAATTTAATTTGGATTACAAACTTCACATCTGCTGAGCATGGTGGCAAAAAAAAGGGAAAAAGAAACCCAATTTGCATAGTTTTGGCCCTGATTGCAGCTTGACATCTGTTGGTTCTTGTTCAGATGTTGGTTCGAATTCAACGCCAGACATAAAGGGAGGGGGCCCAGATTATATATAGGCATCAAAGTAGAACTCGTATACCTAATACACTGCCAGTGCTTGTCAGTCAACTTCTGCATGAAAAAAGAAAACCCCAAAGAACACTAATTGTCTTGATATCATTATTTGTGGTGTTGGTGGTTAACGTAGAAAAATTTCTATGGTGAAGTTGGAAAGTAATCTTATTAATATCAATGAAAGCAAGAACTCTTTGATGATTGAAATTTGTTGTATTTCTTCTGAAGAAATTAGCATATTACAATTCTTTAAATTTTACTTTGAAATTTTCAATACCATAACCATGAAAAAGACAATTCTAGTCAAGTACGTTGAGGTTACATTGCTGAGTAAACATATCTTGGGAAGAAGTAAAATGGGTAGCATGAGCGTAGAGGGGGCTGGAAAGGTTTTAGTTGGCAATTTGGTAGCAAAACTTTCCAAAGAAACTTGTCTCAAATTTGAAAATCTTGAAATGGTTGATAGAGGATATGACATATACTGGTTTGTTTTGTAGGAAGAATAACTAGGATTTACACTGAAGAGGTATAGATACGATGTACCAAAACCAGAAAAGAGCAAAACAGACATGTTGACTAGCCAATAGCCGCTGCAATAACGGGCGAACACTTTTCCAAAGATATGTTGAAAGTCTTCATCACTCTCTGATACATGAGAGTTTCTCTCCCTTCCAAGAAAGTTCCTGTCTTTCTTCTCTTCAGTCTTCAAGGCTCTTACTATTCTCCTATTTAACAGACCAGCTCTGCATCTTTCTCAAAAGGCTTCCCTCCTCTGCCCTTCTTTCCTTTTATTTCCTCTTAAGGTCTATCTCTTTGAGTTACGTTAAGTCTTGTTTCCTGGTGCTTCTCTTCTTCATTTCGACTATTCTATCCCTCAAGTTTTCACTTTTGGTTGAATTGGTTCATTCTCTGGTATTTGCTTCTCTTTTGTTTCTTTAAACTTTCCTTTTGTAATCTGTGTGATGCGTTTGTTTATGTTTCTTTTTAATATGTTCCCTTTTCTATGGTGATTTTGTGATCTTATTTTAGATACCAGAAGTTTGAATCTTGAAAGGTCTAGTCTAGAGATCACCATAAGGTTGCTCCTTTGATGCATAGCTTATCTGTTATTTTATCAAATTCCAAGGCTTTCTAGTCTGTAGTGTATCTTTTCTTAGTGAGATAGATAAATTCACCTTCCTTTTATCTTGGAATAGATAAATTAGAGATAGGTGTTTTCAGGGTTTGACTTTTTTCCTGTTCTGGGTTGTAGGTTTGGGTTTTTTTGATGGTCATGGATCCAAAATTCACTGAATTCACTGATTATATAAACGGTTTTAGAGTTGAAGATGATACACATCTATTCACTTCTGGTCAGTACCCGAATTTCACAAATGGACTAGAATTTAATGTCCCTTCTCCAGATCTTGGCTTTATGAGTGTGAATGTTCCTGTTATACCTCCTACTCCTGACCCTGGTATTTCCGTTCCACCTATTTCTGTAAGTTCGGATGGGAGCTCGTTTTCTGCGTCCACGGGCTGGAGCCCAGATGGGGAGTCTTCCTCACCTTCTGATGACAGTGACTCCACGGATCCAGTTCTCAAGTACATAAGGCAGATGCTTATGGAAGAGAACATGGAGGATAAGCCTTACATGTTTAATGATTATTTGGCTCTTGAAGACACTGAGAAATCATTATATGAAGTCCTTGGCGAGCAATATCCTCCGACTAATCAACCCCAACCTTTTCTCAATGTGAATGTGGAGAGTCCCGATAGTAATCTTTCTGGTAATAGCCGTGATTATGGTAGTAACAGCAATTCTAGTACAAGTATTGGCACCAGTAATGGGACTAGTAATTATGTTGATCACTGGGGGGTTGGTGAAGCCGTAGAGCATGCTCCTTCGTTGTTACAAGCTCCTCTTTCTGGTGATTACCATTTCCAGTCCACTTTGCAACAGCCCAGTTCACAATTTTCTGTCAATTCAACTAATAGCTTGAGTAACATGGGTAATGGGTTGATGGAATCTTCTGTTAGTGAGCTTCTAGCTCAGAACATCTTCAGTGATAAGGAATCTGTCTTGCAGTTCCAGAGAGGGTTTGAAGAAGCCAGTAAATTCCTCCCTAGTAGTAATCAACTAATTATTGACCTAGAGAGCAACACATTCCCTATGGGGCAAAAGGGGAGGGTTCCAAACCTTGTAGTCAAGGTGGAGAAGGATGAGAGGGAGAACTCACCGGATGGATTGAGGGGTAGGAAGAATCATGAACGAGATGATGGAGATTTGGAAGAAGAGAGGAGTAACAAGCAATCAGCCGTTTATACAGAAGAGAGTGATTTGTCAGATATTTTTGATAAGGTGTTACTCTGTACTGATGGAAAAGCTATGTGTGGTTTCAATAAAACTGTGCAGCAGGGAGAAACCAAAACCTTGCTGCAAAAAGAACAATCAAATGGATCCAGTGTTGGGAAAACTCGTTCCAGAAAACAGGAGAAGAAGAAAGAAACAGTGGATTTGAGAACTCTTCTAATTCTCTGTGCGCAAGCTGTTTCTGCTGATGATCGTAGGACTGCTGGTGAACTGCTAAAGCAGATTAAAGAGCACTCGTCCCCTCTTGGTGATGGAACTCAGAGGTTGGCCCATTTCTTTGCAAATGGCCTTGAGGCACGCTTGGATGGCAGTGGTACTGCAATTCAAAATTTATATTCTTCCCTAGCTTCCAAGAAGACTACAGCTGCTGATATGTTGAAAGCTTACCAAGGGTATCTTTGTGCTTGTCCATTTAAGAAGCTACCAATTTTCTTTGCAAACAAAACGATTTGCCACATGGCTGAGAAAGCAAGCACCCTTCATATTGTAGACTTCGGTATCCTGTATGGTTTCCAATGGCCCATTCTTATCCAGCATCTCTCGAAGAGACCTGGTGGGCCTCCTAAGCTACGCATAACTGGAATAGAGATTCCTCAACGTGGTTTCCGCCCAGCAGAAAGAATTGAGGAGACAGGTCGTCGCTTGGAAAGGTATTGCAAGCGCTTTGATGTTCCATTTGAATACAATCCAATAGCAGCTCAAAACTGGGAAACCATCCAAGTAGAGGACATCAAGATTAATAGCAATGAGATGCTTGCTGTAAATTGTCTTTTTCGGTTTAAGAATCTACTGGATGAGACAGCTGGGGTGGACTGCCCAAGGAATGCTGTTCTAAAATTGATCAGGAAAATGAACCCTGATATTTTTGTTCACTCTATAAGCAATGGATCTTATAATGCTCCCTTTTTTCTTACAAGGTTCAGGGAGGCTCTATTCTCTCTCTCTGCAATATTTGATATGTTTGAAAATACATTACCTCGTGAAGAGCCAGCAAGGTTGTTATTTGAGAGGGAGTTTTATGGGCGGGAAGCCATGAATGTTGTAGCATGTGAGGGCTCGGCGAGGGTTGAGAGGCCAGAGACGTACAAGCAATGGCAGGTTCGGACAATAAGGGCAGGGTTCAAGCCACTTCCATTGAACCAGGAACTGATGGAGACAGTTAGAGCTAAGTTGAAGTCTTGGTACCACAAAGATTTTGTAATTGATGAAGACAACCACTGGATGCTGCAGGGATGGAAGGGGAGGATTCTTTATGCTTCTAGCTGTTGGATACCTGCACAGGAATCTTGACCCGAAAAACTGAGAACATGACTAAGATAATCTTTCAGAAAACGACCGGCGATGATAACTTCAACATATGGGCAAAGGTAACACTTCGTCACAGTTTATATTTCATCGCCCTTTTCTGTTTTTCTCTCGTTCTTAACATGTGCATGCACAGACACACTCGTGTGTACATGTGCATGGGTTCACAAGCATATCATTTAGATAAATACATTTTTGCCTGAGAAATTTAGAGTAGGGGTATTAATGCTGTGTGTTAGGCAGTCCTTTTTGTTAATTAGCCCAGCACATGAATTAAAGAGCTGATTTTGCTACATTCACTTGCTCAGATTACATAGCAGCATTTGCCTTCTTCCTGAAGAATCTTATGGAGTTAAGAGGTTTCTAGTTGTATGGTCTGAGGTTTACTAGATATTCTGTACATTAACTTCAGCTTGGCTCATCTAGTGATTGAGAGTTACTGATCCTGTTGTGAAGTGTCACCATCTTAGTGCTTTTCAAGGTGGAACAATGGGGCATATGATCTACTGAATAAAGCTTTGGAGAAATCTATGATCCTGTTGTTTTGTAGAGGCTGTACTAACTAAATGCCTATGAGCTTTCATACTGGGATGTTATATAATCAAATCATGTTCTTCCTTTCCTGGTCACTTCCCCCTGTCAGTGGTGGTGATCAGGGGAAGTTGCTTCTTAGCATGTTGTCTGTAAATATTTCCATGAGTTTGATGAACTGCATTTGTTCAATCTTAGTCTATGAAAGTCAAGTTTTGCAGAAACCTGTTTTGGTACTTTGTTTACATGTTCATTGATTGCTTAATTGTCTTGTGATTCTGTCGTTTCTACCATTATCGCCATGATCAGACACAAAGCATTGTTTTATGATTCAGCAGGAGATTGTTGTTTGTAGAACAGTACATAGTGATTCTGTTACTTTGTGATTCGATGGTCTGTGAGAAGATTGTGAAGGGGGAAGGCAGGGATCCAACTTCTTTTCTTTTCGGTGTACTATGAATGAAGCATTGAAGATTCATTGCCAAAGGACAAAAGCAGAGGATGGCCTCCAAATACAAACACATTGGGTTAGGAACTCGATTCCTTTGCATAACTCACATTTGTCATTGTTGGATGTCAATACGGTCGGTTTTTTTTTTTATATATGATTGAGGGAGGGAATCCAATCCTGCTCTTTTGGTACAAATGTTCGGATGCACCCATACGATCGATTTAGTCGGTTTAATGTTAAAAATTTGTAAATCAAAACAATCAAATTTATTCATTCGAAAAATTAAATTGAATCGAATATCTAAAAATGATCAAATCCATCGAGATATTTCAATTGAACTTCAATTCATATTAATTTTTTCTTTGGGAGAAAGATGAATATTTCATCACTTCATCAACATCAATATATTGTGAGAGCGACTTTACATAATATATTGCAACTATCACCCATAATATTACTTAAAGCATGAAAGATGAGTCTCATTAAAAACATTACCATGAAAAAATCCAGTGAGATAAAAATCCTGGTAAGGAAAAAAAAGTATCCAAGCTAATCATGTATTACAAATAACCAAATTTAAGCCCACACACCCTTTAACTAATTGATCAATAAGGCACCTTTAGTCACACAATCTTTAACTGAGTGTGGTATAAGAGAAGCATCCCTCCATATAGATTTGATTTGTTTGCATATCCTTAACAAACTTTGCTACCATATGAGCCACCACCTTGCTTTTCCTATGCACCTGCTTCACAATCTGTGTTGCTATGCATTCCAATAAAACAACACAATCCTTTACTAAAATACCCGAAGCCCGTACGAAATTTTTACTTGAAATCCATCCAGCCACCAAAAAGTTGTTGACTTCTATCTTATCAAGTATGATATTACTTTCGAAACACATCATCCTCACCCATGTAACAACTTTAAATTCTACATCATAAACACGAGTTGTGTAACATTCTTTTTGCACCCATGAGTACCACGCCACCAGTAGAGTTTCTAACCACAAAACCAGCAGCCACCGTGGCTTCACCATCCCTTACAAATAAACCAACATCTGAGTTCAACTTTAGACTTTTGGTCTACTCCAAGGTGTCCACAACTCAGCATTTATATGTTACGTATTATGGGCGGAACAATTGATACTGCCAGCACATAGTCAAGTCCATATTCATGACCTGGTTTGGTTCCATCTTTTTGTCCTTAAAGATCCGCAAGTTTCGAGCTTTTCATATTGTCTATAAAACACACAGAATTTCTCCAATATTCTCCTTATCGATTTAATCGCATAGAAAAAAAATTTATTAAAATAAATTCTAAAATTTAATTTTAATATTTCTAAATTTTCGTTTTGAAACGAATAACATTGTTCGAGCGTATTAACGATTGCATAGATGGTAAAAATTAATTTTTCAATCATCATCACAAAAATTACAAAGCATATCCACTTTCACATGCCGTTTACATAGAGCAACCCTAGTATGAAGAATTCCTCTCATAGCTCTCTCAGCAAACAAGAGTATTTTTCTAGAAATATTTAAATTCCAAAACTTTTTTCAAATTACTGAAAAATTGTTTTAGGAGTTTACCCCATCATTACTGCTTGTTATAGAATAAAGTAGTCTATAGCCAGATTTAATAGTATACTCACCTTGCTTATTATCAAACCATATTTGCTTATCATTTGGAAGCCTTTTACTAGTTGGAATGGATAGAACCAGATTGCATTCAAGCGATGGAAAATATTTACTAATTTTTTTTACCTATCACAATATTGTACGTGAATCAAACGAGTTGCGTACTCGTATTACCTCCATTATATCACCATGACACATTAATAATGATCTCAATATCTTATACAGAATCCAACTATCTTTCTCGACAAATATATTAGCTCCATCCCCAACTCTCCAAAACAACCCTTTCTTGATTACCATCTAATTTGCTTTAATACTTCGCCAATTCATATTAATAAAAAGTAATATCTCAAGATATTATATATATAAAAATATAAATTTTACACCTAACATATTGTATATAAATCTCAAAATAATTAATTATTTCAAACAATTAATGAAGATTTTTAAAAATAACATATATAATAATTTTAAAATATTTTATTTCAAATTCAACATTGGAATTGATTCAATTGAAAAATTTACTTATCGAAAATTGAATCAAATAAACAAATGAATTTAATTTTTGAAATTAAAATAATCATTAATTATTGTAATCGAATCAAATTAATCAAACTCAATTCCATTCTATCGGTTTTTCCGTTTTGAAATCTTTTTGGTACCACCCAGTGACACTGCTTGCTGAGCTGCCACTGCCAGCGAAAGGTAACTCCTTCATTTGCAGCAATTTTTTTAAAAATAGATAATAATATACGTAATCATATGAAAATGAGATTCCACATTACTTTTCTTCTTTACAGAACAAATGTGATAATCATTAATTAATGCTAGGTTTTTGTAAAAATAAATAAATAACTATTTCCTTATCAAGTTCATGTGTATGAAACCATCATTTGCACGTCTTGCCAAACAGCAATCTTCTTGAGAGGTCAAAATGAACTTGCTTGATTGGTTTGGAAAAAAAAAAAAACACATGAAAAACACAATATCCTTTGGCCAACAAAACAAAAAAAAAAACAATGCAGAATTAATGAGCTGTTTCTCTCTTTAGTCTCTTCTTCTCGTTTATATAATAAAATAAACGATACTAAATATGTAATTAATGAATACTAATTTAATTTAATTTATATAATTAGTATAATTATATGAAAAATAAAATCAGAATTAACTGATTTACTCCATCTCTTTTGTTTTCCTTTTCATCCATGCCTGGCTCTCTCCCTAAAATATCAACAAATCTCCGAACGACACTCCGGTTTCTTTCCTTTGGAAATTGTCGGCAATTTATGTACGGTATTGATGGTGTATTGGACCCAGTCATGGTGATGAGTAAGATTCTGGAAGTTGTTGAACCCAATTATTATTTTTTTCTCAGTTTCTCCAATTTCACACTCTCCCTAGAACCCATTTTTCTCTCACACGACAATCACCAAATCCTTCTAAATGTGTTCAATTTCATTCCTTTTTCTTTTGAAATATTGTGATAATTTATGCAAGTTGATGGCGTGCTGTATCCGGTGGTGCAGAGATCGTGAATCTTAATAAAATTGATTTTCGACTTTCGGTGTGAACAAATATTATAGATTTCACTTCAATAAAAAATGTGATAGATTTTAAGTGTATAAATAAGGGTCTTTCATATATTTTGTGTTGAAAACGTGAATTTATAATTTATAAATTTTTAAGGTCACATAAAATTAAACTTAACTCTTAATATAAATAGGTTAATTTTAAATTAAATTTTTTTAATAATTTTATTAGATAAAATTAACAACATAATTTCTAAAAGATTAAAATTTTCTACCGACAATTAATTGAGAAAAAAATGATAATCATAAAGCATATAAATGGAATTTATCCGAATTAATATTTTAACAGTAAAAATGTAGAGGCAATGAAAGTTTATTTTTAAAATATAAATTTATTTTGCTTGTAATCATAGAATGCATCTTTTTTTTTATAATTTATCCAAAAAAATAGTGTCTGTCTCTCTTTACATAAACTTTCCCATTCAACTGGTGACAAATAGATTTGGTTTCAGATTCCTGTTTACAATCTCAAAGAAATTCTATTAGTTGAGCTGCCTGAAATATTCTAATTTATTGTTCCAAGAACAAGAAAATTTCAAATAAAGAATCAACCAAGGAATTAATTAATGGGGTGGGAACATGTTTAAGATGAGGGATCATGATGAGAAGATCCCATAATTCAGTAAAATCAAATCATCATTAATCAATGCAAAGAAAAAGTCTTTGTTATCAGATTCTTAGTTCCTGTTATTTTAAGTACAATTCATTTAATACTTATTAATCTTAGGTCGTGATTTAAGACAAGACATCCTTTTGGTAGTGTTATAAAAACAAATGCCTTGACTAAGAGTTGCCCTGTTCTTTCTCCTGCTTGACTGAGTTGTTAAAACTCTTTGTGTTTCAACTTTTAGTCAGTGATGGCAGGCATGTTGGTAATCTGGCATTGGTTGTCCCTGTTAGAAAAAACATGGGAGGAATTCAGATTTTTGAACTGCAAATCATAATAACCATTTTAGACTAAGCAGGAATTAATTAACGGTATATGCTACTTTTAAAGGTAAGTTTTCCCTTTAAAGGAACTACCACTTGTGAATACTAATTACCCTATTCAAAAGAAGAAGAGTGAAAAAAAAAAAAAACTTCAATTTTTCTCTTATAAAAGGAAATAAGTACACCAAATTATTTACTAAGGAAGATGTATTTTATAATTTTTTTTATTTATATAAATTTTATCACATATAAGATGAAGGGAAATAAATTACGAATTTATATTTAAAAAATGAATGAAACTTTAATCAAATTTAAAATTATTATAATTTTTTCATCAAATTATTTACAGCGTGATACACAACTTAAGTGGTACAGATGATTCTAGTTTTATAACATGGTAATGAAATTAGTACCCAAAGGAATAGAGTCAAGTTCCGTACCACCTTAGCTTACAACATTTTCCAAAGGAGGAGCAAGACTCTCTTGCCTCCATTGTTGCCTTTTATTTTCTTTCTTTCAGACAAACCGAACCCAAAGTCCTTGATACTTTGGCTCATCATGACCACCCAAACCCTCTCAATAATTTCATTAACATCCTCAATTTTCTCTGTAGGTTTCATTGCTTGTCTTGTCGTTGCATTACTTGGAAGCAATTCTCAGATATCTAACCCTCTGCTCTGCTTTTTTGACTACTTGGTTAGACGAAGAAAAAGTTATAAGAACAAAAAAAGTATGCACATACGCGTAAAGATGGATGCTTTTCTGGGAACGTAATCATCCCATTATCTGTACTTTTCTATTGTTAGTCTTGCAAGCCTGTTGACAATAACACAGACGACTCTGATATCAGGATAATGACTGTTTTCCTATATTGTACGTTTAGATTGCTATATTAATCATTATATCTTATTTTAAATTTAGTCAAATAACGTATATTTTGAATTTAAAAATAACATATATTTTGTTAAAATATTTCTGAATGAAATATTTTAAATTATGTTTAATGAAATCTCGAATTCGACATGGAGCATGCTATTCCCCTTAAGATTTCGTGTTATGTACAAATGAGTGTTTAGGGCCATTTGAAGGCGAAAAAAGTAATTTCTCACGTCACAGGGGAAGTTCCACTACTGTTATATGTGATGATTTAATTGAGATACACACAAACACCGGTAAGCAAGATTAAGAGTTTATAAGACAGAGGCAGCACTCGGCCACCAAGGCTGTCAGTGATTTTTGTCCTTTGCCATATTTCTCCTTTGCCTGTTTGAATTTTCGGCCCTAATTATTAATTAGTGGAATCAATTATGGTTGAAAAAATAATTGTAAGCATTCACCAAAAATAATGAAATAAGTGACAGAGTTAAAAATTTATGTTCGAGAGGATAAAAATAAAAAATTTAATATTTGTAAGGATGAAATAATAAATTTTTTAAAAAAATGAAGTAAAATTATAAAATTTGAAAAAAAATTTATTAAATTTTAAAATTTGAGAGAGGTAGGCCCTTACTAGCCCCCCTATCTCCGGCTTTGAATGGAATGGTGCAAGCGAAAAAAGGACAAAAGAGCAGCTAAAAGAACAATTTTTTTCCTCTTTTTACTTAGTACAGAGGAAACACGTGGAAAAAATGGACTTTAGTAAGTATAATAAATAGTAATATGAGATTTTTTTAAACAATTTTCACCTCTTCTATCACTTATTTGAAAAAAAAAATTGAAGGCGTAGCTCATTTTTTGGAACTTATCTTAAAATTTAAGATCCTGCACTAGTAACCTCTTATGTATTATTGGAGTCTAACTCATTTTTTTAGATTATACTAAGAACAAAATTATCTTTTTATCAAAACTAAATTAATTTAATTAATCTTTGATAAAATATAAAAATAATTGACGTTGATTTTACAAAAAAAAAATCTAACATTAAATATTTTTCTGCTTTGAATAAAATACAAAACATGTACCGTTCAGAGATTACATATAATAAAATTAAAATTTCAAAACCATGAATACAGAAAACTCAAAATTTAAAATACTAAAAGTGTGAGATTATTGGCTAATAATCATAGAAAGTTTATGAAATGCTTCAACGGTGTTAGTAAAATATCAAGAACAGTCAATAAACGGTCGATGACATAAGATCAACCACATGATCTGACTCTTACACGTTCTAATGATTGTTTCCTTCCTCTACAGGGGTAGCAATGAAATACGGCCTGAAAACCACTGGAATTGGAAACCAAGGCATAACACACAAAAAGAGACAACAAAAAGGTGGGAAAAGTTTGAATTTTCATGGCTTCGCATGGCGAATCACAATGATTAATGAATCACGTTTTTTTTTTTTTGAATTGGGAAAGAAAATTGAATTTATTTTTTATAGAAAGAGAGATTATATATTGATTAATGAGTTAAATATTTATATATTAATTATGTTTAATTTTACTTGTAATAAGAAATTTGAGCAAAGAGCAGTGATGGCCTGATGAGGACATTGACTTGATGGTCAATCAGGACAAATTTAAAACTTTTTAAAAATAGTGTTATAATTAAAATAATAATAATAATAATAATTAAAAAAATATTAATATTTAAATTTTATAATTTTTTTTATAAACTTATTGTAAAATTAATATATAAATTATTTTTTAATAAATTCATTTTAATTTACAATTTTAACCCTACTCTTTATAGAATTAGAAAAAACTTAATGAGCTCATTAGCAATTTAGAGAGGAGGGAAAGGAGGGCGCCTAAATAAGGCCCCCAGTCCCAATTTTAAAATCTTTTAATTTTTTTTTTTTAAAAGAATTTTATAATTTCACTTTTATAAATATTAAACTTTTTGTTTCATCCCTAAAAATGAAATCTTAACTTACTCATCGAGTAATATCATTAATTATATAAAATTTTAATAAAAATAATATAATTAATAAAATTTTAAATATTTTAATAAATAAATAATGTCGTGTAACACTTCTTATCTTGATATAGCTCGACCTTGTGGTCAATACGATTAATTGAATCAGTACTAAGTTTTCTCCAATGTGTATCCTGTACGGTGTGACCGAAGGTGGAAACGCACATGCGACGCCCGAATAAAGTTACTTTCCGGTTTTCCGAGTCTTATCCCTGCTGTTCGGACCCTAACTAGAAAGTTTCAACCATCAGCCCGCCATCTACTGTAGTGTACTGCTGAAAATGACTGCTCACTGAAACATATGAAAATCAATTTATTTATAAATTACTTATTTTAGTATTGCGAAAATAAAATTGTAGACAGGTTAGAGAATATTTATGTTCTTATAAAGTCATTCATTAATCGTGGTTATATATGTTTTCTATTTGTAATAAAATTATTGTATTTGCAAATCCTATTTACAATAATAATATCAAGTCACTTATGATTTTGATTAAATTGGAATATTACATGTAAGTCACATTAAATACAGTTGGATTTTGATTGGTCAACCAATTTTTTAATTACAATTTATTCGTTCTTTTAATTTTGCACACGATTTAAATTACTTATATAGAAAGTCAAAGTTTCATTTTTGAGGGTAAAATATTTTGAAATAATTTTATTTTCAGAAGCCCAACAAAAAATAAAAATAAAAAATAAAAAGGTGGTAAGACTTAATATTGCTGTGAAGACATGAGGTTAATAGTATATAGTTTGATAAAATGTACTCTAGAAAGAAAAGCACAGTGGTACGGACGCCCCTGACAAAGATGGCTACTCACTATAAAACAAAGTTATGTTGCTCGCAAGGGTGCACTGTCAGCGACTATCACTTCTGAAATTCCTCCAAGCAGAGAAGCTCATCTCTCTTCACTAAACTTCACTGTAATTTAGAGCAAGTTTTTTTGATTTTTAACTTGAGTGTTCATCGTATAGGTTTGCTAACATATAGTTCTAAACTATATGTATTGCTTTGATCTCTCCGTTCTGTAATATTTCTTCTTCTTCTTCTTCTTCTTCTTCGGTTTTACTTTATTTTTGGAGCTGGTGACAAGGAGATGCAGGAAGAAGAATAAAACGCAAGCTGCTGCTCTATAAACTTGGATTAGTTCTTCAAGCTGTATCTTTCTTGTTTTTCTAATAAAGGTAATAATATTACACATATGATATATATTTTGTTTAGTTCTTTCATTTATTTGCTTGAATGAATCCTTGTAAACTAAAGGTTTGACTTAGATATATAGTCTAGCTGTGTGATATTTTTTCTTGCAAAGCTTTTAAGATTTGGGCTTGCTTCTTTTGACGCTATCAAGTTCCAGAAAAGTCAGTAGAAATGAAAAGTATTTCCCATTGTTTTTATCGTTTTGTTTTATGAGGTTATACATGAGAAAACCTGGATGTAGTGACCCTTTTTTTGATCTGATTTCCTCCAAGTTTGAGTGCAGGATTTGCACGAAGCTATCAGTTTTTCTGTTTTCGGGCAATCTGTGGGGGGGTCCTATTGTCTAGTCAAATTGGAGATTGTTTTTTGAACCATGAAAGTATTTTTATTTACTGATAATCTTTCCCTTCCTCTCAACTGATCCAGCCCGCCAGGTTCTACTCCAGTAAATGAATCCATCTTCATACTCAACTGTAGGAGATCCTGCAGACGAAAGTAACTTCCCCAATGCTTGTTACATCATGACTCCGATTTTTACAGAGGATGCAAATGTCAAAACGTTCGCGTTACAAGATTCCACATTTGGGGAGGCTGAAAGTTCTTTCGCTGATATTCTTGATGAAAAATATCCAGTTTCAACAACTCTTCCATTTCCTATCTGTTCCGATCTCGACTGCATCACTGCTGCTAACAACTTGGTCCAATCCGACTTTATTTGTGATCTTGCCAGGTTCGAATTTAGCAGCATGCTATCTCCACAAGTTGAACATGCCTTTCAGGACTACCCACAGCCTGTTTCACAATCATTCTTCCCTGATAGCAGCTTTGGTGAGGCGGTTGATGTGCCGGTAATTTATCCAGTAAATAAATCATTAGTTCCGGATTTGGTTAATCGGGATTTGTGTTGTGAGAGCCTATCTGATGCCCAATTCTTAGAGGGTGGGGTAAAGGAAACTCAGAAATTGATTGCATATGGTGATCATATGAGTGCTGAGGAAGAATCTCCGGTGGCAACTGAGAGGGAGACAAGTGAGGAGATGGATCACTTATTTTGTGAAACAAGGAAGGTTGAAACTCGTCTCCAAATTTGTGGTGCGGGAGAAATTGGTCGTGAACATGGGAGAGTTGTTTGTCCTGAACAGTTTGAGCAACCTGACATGTTTAAAAATGATGTTTCTGCTGCTGCAGCTGCTGATATAGCCTGGCGAAATGAAGCAAGAAGGATAATGAATGCCTGTGGAGAACCAAAAAGAAACAGTGCTGGAACAAAAAAAAGGAGAAGAAGTGTTAATAAAAGAAATCTGGTCGATTTGAGAACTCTATTGATTCAGTGTGCTGAAGCTGTAGGAAGCAATGATTTCAGGAATGCAAATGATTTCCTGATGCAGATTAGGAATCACTCTTCCCCTTTTGGCAATGCATCACAAAGAAAAGCTCATCACTTTGCCAAAGCCCTTGAAGCACGTTTGGCTGGCACCGGAAGTGAGGAATATGCAGCTCTTGTATCTAAACGAATTCCCAGTGCTAGTATTGAAGCCTGCAAATTGCTAATTTCAGCTTGTCCTTTCATGAAGGTATCGAATTTCTTCACAACCGAGATGATTATGAAATTAGCTAAAAAACCAACTAGGATCCACATCATTCATTTTGGCGTTCCCTACGGTTTGGAATGGTCATCCCTTATCCAGCGTCTGTCAACAAGGCCTGGTAACCCTCCTAGGCTTCGCATCACAGGGATAGACCTTCCTCAACCAGGAGTGGAGTCAGCAGGAAGAGTTGAGGAAATCGGACATTTCTTGGCAAATTGCTGTAAGCAATTCAATATCCCGTTTGAGTACAATGGCATAACACAGAAATGGGAGAGTATCCAATTGGAGGACTTAAAGATTGCCAAAGATGAGGTGGTTGTGGTTAACTGCTTATACAGGTTGAGGCATCTAGTGGATGAGATGGCCGATTTGAGCAGTCCAAGAGACACTGTTCTGAACTTGGTTAGGAAAATTAATCCTAACATTTTCATTCATGGGATTGTTAATGGGGCCTATAACGCCCCCTTCTTTGTTTCACGTTTCCGAGAGGCACTCTACTACTTCTCTACAATGTTTGACATGCTTGAAGAGATAGCACCCTCTGGAGATCAGGAGAGAATGGTTTTGGAGAAAAATATTTATGGAAAGGAAATCTTGAATGTGGTTGCATGCGAAGGTTCTGAAAGGATCGAGAGGCCGGAGACATACAAGCAGTGGCAGGTTCGTAATCTGAGAGCGGGGTTGAGGCAGCTTCCCTTGAAGCAGGAGATACTGAACAGTGCAAAGGCGCATGTGAAGTTGCACTACCACAAGGACTTTTTGGTGGATGAAGACAAGAATTGGATGCTACAGGGATGGAAGGGCCGAATTCTCTACGCTCTTTCCTTTTGGAGGCCCTCCAAGGAGCCTTAATTAAGGGGAAAACCTGTGTGCTCCTTATTTTCTATTTCCTGTTTAATTAGTTACTGCATAAAATTTTGGATGTCTGTAGCCTGACAAATCTATCAATAGCACCGTTGTGATAAATTCTTGCTCTTTCTGGTGGTTTACTCACTGGAAAAGTAAGAATAAACTGTGATAAACCTTGTAATTGTAAAGTTAATTAAAACGATAAATACAGTATTAATTTTCTCTTCTCTTTATTATCAGTAATTATCACAGAATCATATTCTGAAGAAATTTTTTCATGGCTCTGTACGTATATCTTCTTGATGAGTTATGATGAAGAGAAAAGAAACAAATTAACCCCGTTGAATTCTTGTTGGAAAATATAGAGCACGAAGAGAATCTCATATACCCGCATGTGTTTTCTTCACCTTCTTCTCTTCTTCTTCTACATGCATGTCCCATGGAAGCTGTCAGCATTTGCATAGATTTGATTCCTTGGTTCTTTTTTTTCTGGTCATTGCTGGCCGCTATGATCTGTCCCCCTCCCCTCAGACTCAGAATCCTGACATCAACCGCCCATGCGTTAAATTCCAATGGTTTCGGCTAAATCATCATGAATAAGTATAGTGTAACGTTTAATTTACCCTAACTATTGATCACCTGATGAAGAAGACAGAAGGTTGTTTGAACCAGTCATTACTTTGATACAATATAAATTTCCAAAGAAAATGAGTCATTGATTTGCACTTCCATTATAACATATCTGAATGATTTTCAAAAAAGAATTATAACATCTTAATGGTAATTATTATCTCATTGCATAGGACAGTGAATCTATACCTAAAACTCTTCTTCTGCCATATAGGTTGTGTGGAAACTTATATCTCGAAACAGAAGCAATAAGAATTCGAGCTAACCCAATTTGCCATAATTAAGTTAAAAGACTTCCATATTATTTTCAAAGAAAACAATAAACTTCCATATCATAGTTAAGGTGATCATAGGAGAGAGAGTTGAAGAGATAATTACACTTCATTCTTCATTGCCTGAGCATGGTTAGGTTCAACATCAAAACCCTTCTACCTTACTAGCAAGGAGAGAGTTTGGATTTGTACTGCTTAATTTCGTTTCCTCGTGCATGGAATCAGAAACAAGAATTTTTTTTGTTTGGGTAGACAGAAACATGTATAATTTTCTTGGAGTGTGTTCACATTTGATTAGACTAATTCAATTAATTTGTCATTTTTCTAGAACAAATTTTCATGTATTACTGACTTTCTATTTTATTGACATTGGCATGGTCGGTCCTTTTTGTTTTTCTCATGTGTACTGGAAGACTTGAAAGAACTGAACGTCAACGTGCAAACAGCATTTTTAAGGTCCAAATATGATGCAATGCAGAAGGATTAATGTCTAAGGTGGGATGAATCTGCTGGCTTTGCTGCATAATGATGACAGCAACACTCACGTTTCAACATATTTGCTAATACTAATAAAGCTTGATTTTCAATTATTTATGTGCTTTCAAATAGTGGAATGCCCTTTTGAATGATGAAAGCAGCAAACCCCACCTTTTTTCAAAACCATAATCTTGTTGGCACTAATTTTCCATTTTGGTGGCTATAAACAATAAACTTTGAGAAACTGATATGCCATCCACATCTTTTCTTCATTTAATCCATCTATTATTTACCAGCAAAAAAACAAAAGAAAACCATGTCCAATCAAGCAACAAAAACCACTATGATTAAATTATTAATTAAGAACACTGTTTTTGTTGAATTAAGGCTTGCATTGAAGACCCTGCAAAAAGCTATGTCATCTGTCAAATGCCCATGCTTCTTTGTTTTTGTATTGTGACAGTTGCTGACTGTCATGGTTAATGTCGGTCATGCACCTAATGCATGTTTTGAATTAATGTTTAAACTCTGATAGAGCATTGCAGTGTAGAAGCCCTTGCTTCAACTTTTGTTTAGAAGCTTTCCATTGAACATATACTTCTGTTCAGGTATATCAGGCTTGGTTGCCTTAGTTTTCTGCTCTTCCCTGTTTTCTGTTTTCCTTTCATTTATGGCTGCATGCTCTCATTAAGCTGCTATGGTTCTGTTTTCACCTAGGCTATAAATTCCAATGTACAAAAGGGGGAAAAGAAGAAGCTGAGCAGTGCTGTGGGTCCTCCTCAAGTTAGAAGCACAATAAAAAAGACTTTTGTCCTTTTTGGATGACCAGCGAATTTTTTTTTTTGAGGAAAAAGTGTTGACAAAGAAGAGTAGGAAAAAATATTTAGCACGCATCAATGGGAAAGGCTATTTGTGATCCTATTTTGATGAAATTTTATCATGTTGTTTTTGATATTGTGAGTTTCAATTTGAATAGTTAAATTAGCTTTTTTATTTGTTAGGTTGTGATATCTTTTATTTAATATTAATGTATTGTTATTTGATGATTTCTATTTTGTTAATTACTGAATGATTCTATATGTGGTATTTAATATCTTATATTTGATATGAATATGATTGTTAAAATTTATATAACATCACTACTAGCAACTTGAGTTTTAGTTTTTGAGAATCATGTGATTTAGGTTTAAAAAGCTACTAGGTTGGACTTGGATCAGTTGGATGTGGACATCTTAGACCTGTGAATATGATGTGTGACATTGATAAATACATCAAAGGATTGGAATATGTGACATTATGATACCTTACATCCCACATCAAATATGAATATAATTGTTAAAACCATTATAATAATTTAAGTCCACCATTACTAGTAATTTGAGTTTAAATTTTTAAAAGTCACATAGTTTATGCTCAAAAAGCTATTAAGTTAGTGGTTAAACTTGAGTAGTCACAAATGATATCAGAGTCTACTCTAATGAGATCTACAGCCCATGGATGTAATGTGTGGCAGACATCAAGTATTTGAATGGATATCACAATCCAAGTTTACCACTACTAACCACTTAAATTTAAACTTTGTCAGGTTTAAAAACTTTTGTGAGTCATATGGTTTCATGTGGTTTAAGCTTAAAAATTTATTAAGCTAGCGATTAGATTTGGATCGTTACATTATGTAAGCTCACAGCTCACATCGGACTGGTGTAGGTTTTGATACCATTTGTACCGATCTAAGTCCAACTACTGGCTCAACAACTTTTTAGGCCTAAACCACTTTACCCTCAAAAGCTTAATCTCAAGTTCTTAGTAGTAGTAGACTTGGATTGTTATATAGGTCTTAACAATCACATTCACATCAGACGTGAGATGCTGGATATAGACTTAAAAAGCTATTGGGCCAATGATTGGATTTGGAACGTTACATTATGCTATGCTCATTGATTTTTTTAATGAATTACTTTTTTAAATTATGTGATGTGGTTTTTTACCTCAATAAAAATCATATATTTTCTTATATTTTTTTTCTATTTATGATTGCATGCAGTGATTGGATTTGAATCGTTACATTATGTTATACACATTGATTTTTTTAATAATTTTTTTTTGAATTAGGTGATATGGTTTTTACCTCTCCTATTGGAGGGGTCTTTCAAGGTAAAAATCATATGTTTTCTTATATTTTTTTCCTGTTTTTTGTTTTCTTTTCATTTATGACTGCATGCTTACTGTCATTAAGCTGCTATAGTTATGTTTTCACTTAGACTATAAATTCCCCACGTACGAAAAGGGCAAAAACAGAAGCTGAGGAGTTTTGTGGGTCCTCCTCAAGTGAAAAAACCAAAACAAAGACTTTTGTCCTTATTGGATGACCACAGATTTTTGTTTTTTAAGTGAGGAAAAAGTGTTGATAACGAAGAATAGGGAAAAAGCTTTTAGCTTGGATCAATGGGAAAGGTGACTTGTGATTCGGTTATGATGAAATTTTAACATGTTGCTTTTGATATTGTGAGTTTTAATTTATATGGTCAGATTTTTTTTTATTTGTTGAATTGTAATATTTTTTATTTAATTTTAATATATTGTTATTTGGTGATTTTTATATTGTTGATAAGAAGTAGGACTTTTTTTGTGAAATCTAGAATTATTGAATAACTCTACGCTGTATTCATTGATTTTCTTAGTAGATTATTTTTTGAATTAGGTTTTGTGGTTATTTTTCCTCTCACATAGAAGGGTCTTTCACGATAAAAATCATATGTTTTCTTATGATTTTATTTCGTGCATTAACTATTTCTGTTGTTGGAGGTATTTTTATTGATTGGATATTTGTTCCTCATAAATTCTTTCAAATGGAAAAAGCTTTATTTTGTATGGTTGCTTCCATTATATAAATATCCTTTCCCACCAAAGAGAACTCTGCTCTACTCTTCCTGACCTCGGCCTGGTTACAAAAACTACCAGAAGCCATCAATCTGACACATCTAAATAGACACAAGATGTATCCAACATACACAATTATCTTGCAAATCAACCTAAGTCTATCCTGCCCAGAAAAGCCACATTCAGTCATCAGTAAGAGAGGGAAACAGGAACCTGTAGCTCTGTTTCCTGGTGTCACCAATGATAAAGACTATTTAATTCAACACCCAGCAACTCTTATGGACATGCAATTGGTGTGGTTTTATTATTATCATTCACTTCATTGATGCAAAAAATCAACCATGGAGTACAACTCTAGAATTACACTATCCTCAGTTATCGAGGAAATATTTCCACCATGAGATGAGTGACACATTTTTAACGAAATTGATAATTTAAGTAAAATCATTGGAGATGTTTCTATTGTTCATGCATACCGTGAAACAAACTTTTACTAAATTTGAAGTAGATAGAACCGAAATATTTTTTGCATGGTAGTATGGGTGGTGGTACTAGAAGCTCTTTGTTCTTTTCTAGTATTGAAATTGTTTTACTTGTTTAGTGCGGTCATGGGATGCTGTATTGGGTTGTTTCATATTTTCTGGAGCTGCCACAGTTCTGCTTGTGAGGTGTTTGGCTGTTTGGTTCCATCTGGTTTTCTGATATCATGTATCAGCTTTTAATTTCACACGTGTATAGTTTGAA